CCAGGCCTTTCATTGTATAGCTGGCAGCTCTTTGAGATTCATACTCCAATTTGCTGTTGACTAATAGGTCTGCTATCCAGACACACATTTATACAGGATTCAGTTTAAAAACCCTTAACAGCACTGGAAGTACTGGAATATTTTCCAAAGTGGAAATTCAAAGAGCAGGGTTTATGGAGATGTGCGTACTAGTGAAATCATAGAGCATCAGGTATTGAATTTTGAAGCATTCTCTCTAAGGCATAGTGTGTCTGCATACAATAATTGACTGAACTAAAGGCATTTCTCTTGAGTGTCAATCCCACAGCCCATAGCTATTTCCATTAAGACTTTTCTCTAATTGTCTTCACTCTAAAAGCAGCTGCAGAATAATCTTTAGCAATTTGTCTTCCTGAAGGGAGGCAGCAGTAATAAAGCATGCCAAGAAACAGGTTTAAGGATTTCTTAGAAGAATCTATGAAGTCAATCAAGAGGTGTTTCAGGAGCAAAATTGGCTTTGATAGGAAAGATGGATGATGTTTCAGTTGCAGCTGGCACATTCACATCACAGTTTGAAAGTAGTGTGCTGTGCCACCAAAAGCAAACCTATCTGAGTCAAAGAGATAACACAGGGAATAAAAAATAAAGACAAATACTTCAACAGAAAGGAAGTTGCACAGCCCTTGTTGAACAGCATTTTCAAGGAGACAAGTACAGATTGTGCAAGGGGGAAGGGTGCACTGGTACATAAGCATGAGATAGTCCTACAGGAGAGGTGGGGCTAGTGTCTTTTGAGAACTCCATGTTAGTGGGAATATCTGTAAGGAGAAGCAGCTTAAGTGGAAGCTTAAGTCACACATCTTGTAGGATGGAAGAAAGGGGCCGGATGTTCTGCAGCAAGACAGGAAAAAAAAAAGTGGGTCTTTGGGAGGTCTATAAAATTTAGGCCTGGGCTGATGGCAGCAAAGGCCCTCATCAAAGCCTTGGATTTCTCACAGAGTCTCATTTTGGCAACTCACCTTCCCTTTTTAGACCTTGTCTCTCACAGATGCCCATTCTGAATGGGCTTGTGGGTGGCTCTTTAACCCAGCTGAAGAAGGATTACTGCACCGACAGCCTGTGTTTCTAACTGAAGACCTGAGTCTCAGTTCCTGTGGTTCCATTTTCAAAGACTCAGTCTAGCACATCCTAAATTAACTCGACAGGCAACAGAGTATGAAATCGGACGTGACCGATCGATCCCTGGGCATTGATTCAGAGCGAAACTAATGGAATGTAAAGAAAATGTAAGACTCTATCATACTGTAAAGGCTGCCTGTTTAGCCATTTCACAAAATAAATATTCATTTGGGCGCTGGGTGAGGTGTAATGTTTGAAGAAATGACTAAAACAAGGCAGAGGGACGCTGCAAACTCGTGCCATACAGATTAAGCCTTGAGGGAATGGCTGTGTTAGATGTCACTGACTAAAATAATTGCATGGTAATTTTGGCTAGAGGCACCATCCTATCGTCTGATGATTTTTAAACCGCGCGTGAACAGTTTAGACTGAGCGATCTTCACATCCAGCTACACAGGACTGAGAAGCCCACTCAGGGTACCACATACTGAGAAGCCCACTCAGGCTACCACGTCTGTGTGCTGGCTCTTGGGAAAACAAAGAGATGCCCTACCACTGCCCAAGGAAGGTCTCTGAGCTATAGGGATCAGCAGCGCTGCATGCTCCTCCTGCAGTGCTCTAAGGTAGGCTGACCAGCGTCTTCCTCCTAAGGTAAGTGGAAGAAAAATTATTCCTAGGGCAGTATGAAGCAGACAGGTCCTTTGTCAGACTGAAAGCAATGCGAATTAAATCCAGGAGTACTTATATCTTAGCATTTAACTTTTTCTGACAAGAAATTTCAGCTCTAACTCTTGCTTTATCAAATCACAGCTGATGAAAACCTGGCATAAATTTAACACAGAAGCTATTTGAATAGTGGTAAAGGCTCAAATGATCTCTGAATTTAAAAAAGTAACAAAATCAAGAAAAAAAAAGAAACTTCCTCCAAGACAGATGGTGGATTTTCATCTGGTTCTGATTACATGCACGAATCTTTATTGTTTGAAATATCCGTGTTAAACTATTTGGACAGACACCAAGGTAGACAGATGGTATAATGACAAATGTCTCAGGTATGTGCTATCTGTACTACAAATGCCATATTTCTAGTATACTTAGAGTACGAGATTTACTAGATATACCAGATACCAGTGTACTTGAATGCTAGAATTTCTAGTCTACTAGTAGACTGGAAATAATTATATTGTTAATATTTGAGGTTACCCTCTTACACTAAACTGAAAATCCTTTGTTACACAGAACTCAAATAAGACCAGGGAAAGGAAAGGTGGAAAAATTGGAAGCACATCACTATGGCAAGGTTGTAAAGTAGTCTTGGCTGATTTCTTAAAGACTCTGGCTTTTGTGGCTCTAGACTAGCTTCTTAACACAGTGTTCACCCTGTCAGTATTTACATGGTGGTTCTATCAGTGCAGGTTTGAGGGCAAGTGTCTTGGTATAATGAACTCACTCAGAGTGTGAATTTGACCATTCCTACAAATGCTCTCCTCTGCCAGCTATTGTAATGGAAAGGTGAGGATAGAGTTGTTGAAATACTAGTAGAAACAACTTAAGAAACAAACACAAATCAGAGAGATGTTTACCCTCCTCTTCTTGTCCTCTCTTACCCTGAATGGTTACACTCACTTTTTGTTCCAAAATGGAGTGATAAAATTTCTACTGCTACAAGAATGCTAGTGTGTCACCTTTGGAATTAAAAAGTCTCCTTTCCCCTTCATTTCTGCATTTACATTTTGGCATCTCACCTGGGTTTTTGGTTTGGTTTGGTAAGTTTAGTTTTGGTTTTGTTCAGAGTCTATTAATTTTGGTGAGGGATCAGCCATTCCCAAGGCAGCAAATAAACCCAAAGCTCTTTTGCTTAACTTGTGTTGCCATCATTCAGTCACCATTCAGTGGAAGGGGCACAGTGCAATCAGCAACTGTCTCCTCAGCAACTGTCTCCCACTAGTATTTGGCCTCTTGAGTACTCTGATTTTGGGAGCTTATGTAAAATTCTCACTTTACTGAAGGTGAACTATTCTGTATCAGAACTTGCAAGCTTGTAAAAGCGGATTCAACATTGTCAGCTTGAGATGTGGTGTTTTCCAGTAAGCATTTTGAGATGTGGTGTTTTCCAGTAAGCATTTCAACCTGTGAACATCTGTATACCCACCCAACCTATGACAGTGCAACAATTTGACATCTGTTCTGAATATAATCCATATGAAGTCAGAAGAAAGATCTGGCATTGTTCTTTAAAGATGAGGAAAATGGTCTACAATAATGCTTGCTGACATTTTTTCATGTATCTTATTTCAATTATATACGTGGGAGGGAAGGAGCAGGGAAAGAAGGTATTCCAGGTGCATCACAGCACCTAAGAAACGGCTTGTTTGGCTAGGGTTCATCAATTAGTTCCTGTGTCAAAAGGGAATTTTGTTGTGAAGGTTCAAAGTTGCAGGGACAAAATATAAATAAATAAATAAATAAATAAATAATCATAAAGTCTGTGGGATGCTTATGCAGAGAATGACTGAACTGTACAATTGAAAATCTTTACTTGCAGTGTGGGTAAATACAGCCTCCAAGCAGAACTGTGCTATGGGAGATCACCTCATAAACCATACTAAGCTTTATGGATAATAGTGATATCACCCAGCTGTGCTATCAGGTAAAACTGGTTTGGATACTGCAACCAACCACTCTTAAAAAAAAAAAATTAAAATTGCACTTTACTAAAGGTTGTGGTTTGGTGGAATTGGGGAATTTTTGAAAGGACAGTAGTGTAAAAAATTTAATTTAGGTATGATCCCAGTTGCTTTCAATATTTTATTACCACATTAGCAGAAAGAATTGCAGGGACATGACACTGAATGTGTGATGGATTCACAAATAAACAGACACCTAACTGTTCAGTTCCCCACATTACCTGAAGCTCCTGAAAAGTTTCCAGAGAAATCACTTGGAAATTGAGCATCTGGCAGCGGAACATAGATCAATTTGCTGGTGAATCAAAGAGCTGGGAAAGACACAGTTAAAAGATCATCTCACACTCACGGCTAAAATCCTCCACACCACTCCATTATGTAGTGCCTGGTTTATTTATCTCATATGTTGAAATCTATAATTCTGGTGAAGTTTTGGTGATTCAGTAAGACTTCAAATGATAAAATTAAATATCTTAATCCTAGAAGAGTTCTTAGTTTATTAACATTATCCTGGAACTGAGACTATTTACACATGTACAGCTATGTGTAAATTAGGTAGGTATTTGTAGTTTTAGGAGTCCAAGGGAGAGAATTGTGGATTTCTACCCTGATAGATGGGAAAACATTGGATGGATGGATGGGTGAATGGATGGATGGCACGAACAATGCTACCACAATGGGGTACAAAACAACATTTTTTACTGTCATAGTTATAGGATATTTCTCAAAACTTTTTCAAACAAATGAAAGTCGTGAGGATTGTATGTTATTCTAGTTGTTTTTCACCCAAAACTACAGTAAAGCCACAGAGAGTGGAATGGAGTGGGTGCAGAATTAAACTATAGTTGGCAATGGATTTGTGAAGTGAAAAAAAAAAAAAAAAGCCTTCTTTCCTAGTGGGAAAAAAATAGTGTAAAACTGTAGGCAGTTAAGAAGTACCGTGGCTTACAGCTGAAACCAATCTCTCTTAAACTTAAAATAATCTCACATTTGCATCTTTTACCAGTAATCACAAAGTTTGCCTTCATTTAAAGACCCATTAAGTAGAAAATAATGGTGAACTTCTAAGAGCTCTCCCACTATCAGAAGAATGTATAAGATTATTGTTTAAAAAAAAACCCAAGAAGCTAACCTAAAAAAGGCCCTTTCCAAAAGAAATCCAATATTGTATTAAAGTAACATAACTTTTTGTATTTCAGATATGAACTTTTGGCCATGGGGGACTGGAACCTGCTAGGCAGCATCCTTGAAGAAGTGCACATCCACTCCACCATAGTTGGCAAAATCTGGCTCACAATACTGTTCATATTCCGGATGCTGGTGTTGGGAGTGGCTGCCGAAGATGTCTGGGATGATGAACAGTCCGAGTTCATCTGCAACACGGAGCAGCCTGGCTGCAGCAACATCTGCTATGACAAAGCTTTCCCCATCTCTTTGATCAGATACTGGGTGCTGCAGATCGTATTTGTCTCTTCCCCCTCGCTAGTTTACATGGGCCACGCGCTCTACAGACTGAGGGCTCTCGAGAAGGAGCGACAGAAGAGGAAAGCCCACCTGCGGGCTCAGCTAGAGGACCTGGAGCCCACACCCGAGGAGCACAGGAGGGTGGAGAGGGAGCTGCGTAAGCTGGAGGAGCAGAAGAAAGTGAATAAGGCACCCCTGAGAGGGTCCCTGCTGCGCACCTACGTCCTACATATCCTGACCCGCTCGGTGGTTGAAGTGGGCTTTATGATAGGTCAGTATCTCTTGTATGGGTTTCACATGTCCCCCCTTTACAAATGCACTCGGCCCCCTTGCCCTAACACGGTGGATTGTTTTGTGTCCCGACCCACAGAGAAGACCATCTTTATGGTTTTCATGAACAGCATCGCCGCGGTCTCCCTGTTCCTCAACATCCTAGAAATCGCCCACCTGGGCCTCAGGAAGATCCACAAGAGCCTCT